TGGGAGGGGCCATTCATCGTCCACCCGTGGCCTTACTCCCAAGTTGACCCCTGTTCTTTAGCCGTTCCCTTCGCCTGGCAATTCCGCGGATGCACACACTGGGAACAGGCTCCAGCTGTTCGTCTGCCCCACTGATGTTTGACTCCGAAAGCAGCTGATAATTGGCATACGGCTCTGGCCCCCTCCCTGCCTCCGACACAGAGCCTTCCCCAGACTCCAGGACTGGCCCAGGTTCCTCCCCAACCTCCTCACTGTCCGAATCTACTGCCTGCTCAACTGGTGGGCCACGACACAAACGTACTTGAGGGAATCCAACACAGTCTGACGGTGCTCGGCGGCTTTTAGCCGAATTTGTTCCCGGATGAGATCCGCGTTGTCCCGTTCCGCCCTGGCGCGAGCCTGGGCTTCCGCCTCAATCCGCAGCATCTCGTTCTTGTGTCGCAGTTCCATTTCGCGCTCCACCGTTGCTACGAAGAAAACCGAGAGCTTGAATCAATGGAGGGGGGGAGTGTAAGGGAGGGGGGATTTCGCAATGGCCTTCAACCAGCCACTGGCAAAGGATTGTGGGATGCTCCTGGGGAAGATGGGGGTTGTAGTTCAACCTCCTTTCCCAAAGATCACTTATGCAGAGTGTTGTTCTTTCATGCTGGTGGTGGAATGAGAGATTTGATCCTCCCACCCAGAATGAAAAGCTACAGAAAGGTAAGTTTCTCATGGCTCTGCACGCTGGCTGGGGAATTCTGGGAGTTGAAGTTCACACCTCATAAAGGCACCAAGGCTGAAAAATGTTGATGTAGCAGATACAGAGAGGAGGAAACATCTATTTTTCTCCCTTTCTCAAAAATCCACCCACCATCCCCTTATTTCCTGGTTATTTTCTTTCAATTTTTCCTGTTCTTTGGAGATTCTACCCTCCTCCCTTTAATACCCCGTGTCCCCGAAAACAAGCCCTCCCCGGATAATAAGCCCAATTGGGCTTTTGAGCGTATGAGCTAAAATAAGCCCTCCCTGAAAATATTTAAACGCATGCGCAGCCGGTCCCCTCCATGTCCTGGGTGGGGGAACATGCCTCCCCCTGCACCTGCCATCCACATAGATCGGCCTCGCGGAGGCCGCTTCTGCAAACCCCAGCTATTCTCCCTTCTCTTAGTGGTGGCCGCAAAAAAGCGGGAGGCCCAGCGACGCTAGGGCTGGCAAAAGTATGCCAGAAACAGAGACAGAACTTCTGGCCCTCTCTGGATCAGCTGATCCGCGGGCTGAATTAAGGGGCTTCAAAAATAATAAGACCTCCCCGAAAATAAGGCCAAGTGCTTTTTTGGGGGAGTGGGGTGTTCAAAAGAAAATAAGACCCTGTCTTATTTTCTGGGAAACACGATATTTTCTCCAGTCTCCTTAGCTTTTGCATCTTGACTCCAAAGGCCTGTTGGTAGGCCCAAACCCCGAGATTTTCCCCTTTGCCCTCTTTCCGTACCTCTCCTCATGGCTTCCTGCTTTTGGACCGATTCTTCTTGCTTTCTCAAATTCTCTTCATTCAGGAGTTGCTGGGGGAGAAGAACAGAATTCAGCCTACGAACAACTGGGAAAGTCGCTGGGCTTAAAAGAACTTGATTTTCTATTCCCCTTAAAAACAGCAGTAATATATATATATATTTAATGTTCATCTACTGGGTATATTTCCCCCCCC